GGAAAGAAGGCAAGCCCACCTTCCCCACCCCATTCTCTCTGCTGTGGATCTCCATGAGGAGGAGGAGTACTGCAAGTGCGCTGCTGAAGATCAGCCACGGTGGGATGCAGCCAGGAGTTATAAAGAAAAATGTACCTGACCCAGAGCTGCTGCATGGAACCTCTTCATATGTACCAACAAGAAGAGCAAAGATCCATCTAATAGGGGGAAATGCTAAAAGTAAACTGCAGCATCTTCCACAGAATAGAAAAATCCAGGACTTGGGTTCTGTTCTAGCAAACAGTAAGGATTATATTTTCTGAACCTGACTGTAATACATTTCATTCACAAGAACTGATATTAGCAATACCATCTTGAAATTAAAACACTAGTGCATTTTTATGTGATACTGTTTAAAGTGGGTAGACCGAAATATGAAAAATGAAGGATGTAAAACTGTAATATGAAGGGTGACAAAAATTAACACAGATCAAGTGCTGATGGAAACAGCAGAAATTCAACAAAGATCAAGTGTCAGAGTAAGAGAATATGAAGGAAAGAGAAAGCAAAATGAAGACTGTGTAAATGAATATATAGCAAATATAATATATACTAGTAATATTTGTGTAGCAGTAGCTAGATGGGAAGAGGCAAAGGGCAACAGGAAGATTGGTCTAAAACCAGAGATACTCTGCCCTGACTGTGGCAAAGACCTTGGAAGATGCTCAAAGGGAAGAAATCTCCACGGAGATTCATGAAAGCTGCTCATTATTATTATTTTGCAAACGTATTTCTACCCCTGCACAAGCCCTGAAGCCCATTCACATTTCCTGAACGTCCTAGAAGATGAAATCCAGCTTTAAAATGGGAAGAACAAAATACAAGGGGTGTTTTACAATTTTCTGAAGAAGGGGGTGGGCTGTGTGCAGAGAGGCCTCACAACACTGCAACCACGCCATTTTGTTCCCAAATCTGTGAACTCATCTTTTCCAAGAATCTCCTGACTACTTCAAAGTATCACTTATGTCCCAACCCATCATGTTTCAGGTTTTGATTTCAAAGTATCTTGCCACTGGATTATTGTCCTAATAAAGAACTCTGGATGAGTGTATTTATAGCCCAGAGAGCAAAAAACAGATGAGGGGAAGGCAAATACTGAATTGCTTGGGTTTACTCTGTGCTAACATGTGCACCTAGTTTTCTGAAACAGAGTTCAGTTGGTCAGGATATAACCCATGGTCACTCTTAGCAAAACCTCGAGTTCCCTCATTCACTGACTTCTATAGCTGCTGAATTTTCAGGACTGATTACAGCCAGCATTTGAGTTGATGACATATTAATTGAAAATGTTCAGTTGTATTGAAGATTTTTTACTATTAGCCTTTCAGATGACAAGAGATGATGAGGTTGATGGAGCTACCAATGCAGCCAATTTTTAAGTGGGGTTTTGACTGAGAGGGTTATCATTATGGGAACCTCTAAAGTTCCTGCATGTATTACACTAGCAGAAAATAAAAAGTGCTATTGTGTTATGTATTCTGTTCAAGTTTCTCACTTGGAAATAGTTATGACTGTCATCCTTGGCCAGGTTTAAATTGACATTTTTATCACAACATTCCTGGCATAGTACTGCAAGTTACTTGCTTGTGAGTAGTTATCAGCTGGCAAAAATTTAAAAGGCGGTTGGCTGATTAAAATTATATGCCAAGAGCTATACAACAAGACAACAAATAACAAAAAATCAGCCAAAGACAGCAAGGATTCTTTAAACAAAATTTAGAAAACCTTTACAGAGAAAGGAAAATTATACATGCAAAAGTCATAAATTGCACCTCTTCATTTAATATTTGATAATCAAAAAGCTAATAATTAAAACTGGGAGGGTTAGGTCGGTCAAGTTTTACAGCTGAGCGCACTCCCTGAGCATGCCCAAATCAACACTTATGAGATTAATTTAAAAGCTCTTCAAATTCTGAATCTCCAAGGTTTATGCTGTCTGTGCATTGTTTGCATAATGCAGTTTTGTACTATTAAAGCACTATAAAGGGATTATTTTCATATTCAGCATATTAAAGATCCAGCACAATTCATAGATACCGTACTCTGCTTATGCCTGAGATAGCAGGAACAGCGTCTCGCCTTCTGATTATCTACGAAGCAAATGTAGAAACATAGATGTTTTTTGGAGAGAGTGTATCCTTAGCAAAATTAATTCCCCAATGGTTTTATTAAAGTCTGCAAATTGCATTATTTTCCCATCATATTTGAAATATTGCACTTCCTTAATGCTTGCTCTAACCCATGGCATGCCATCTTCCCTGGGGTGTCTAGACATGGTGTCTTAGATTTATGTGTATGATCTCAGTGTGTTACAACATCACTCCTGACTAATGCATTATTACAATACTTACATATATTCCCAAGTGTCACTGTTTTGATTAAAAAATCACCAATCTGCATATGCACACCATCTGTGCTTCAGAGAAGCAAAACATGCAGGATAACATTTGCCTTACTCAAAACAAAATTCAGATACTAATAAAAAACAAATGGGAACCTATTTTTATGTTTTGTTTTGTGAAATAACAAAGAAAATGAATACTGTTTCTGTAAAACAACAGTCCGTGCCTCTCACACTTTAAATCATAAGCCTTTTTTTCTCTACACAGCAAGGAGATTTACCTTTAGCAACAACATGCAAACAATTTGCCCTTTTAGAGATAGCAAATAACACGGGAAGGAAATGTACTGCTGCAATGAATTTTAAAAATCTCAGCTCAGAGCAGGGGAGTTTTCAGCAGAAGAGAATGTAGTCAGCAGCAAGTCCTTTCTCAGCTGAAAGCTGCAAGAGTGGTTGTAAAAAGATGAATGAGACCCTTGCTTACTGGGGTGAAATGCTTTTAAAGGACAAGAATCTGCTTATCTTTGATTGATTGCCCAGTCTGATACTTTCCTTTATAAAGTTTATTGACTACAAGCCCATAAATCAAAGAAAAACAAATCACAGGTTCAATTTGGGGGGCATTGACATCCTGCCATCTTGCAGCAATAGCTTAGAAGTCACAGGGCAGGGATATGGGGGACTCATGGAGACAGAAGTATCTACTGCAGATAAACTATCATTTAAAATTTTGTAAACAATTATTCATTTGTGCCTTATCACATTTTTAAGTCAAAGGAAAAATGCAGACAACCAAGCTACTACCTAGGTTATTATTTTGAAGTCCTTAAAGGCAGAATTTACAATTAACAGACGTAATTCTCACTGTGCTTCTGTGCATCTCTCTGGTTCCGTGAGATTACAGTCACATACCCACACAGCCCCCACCTGCTCTAAGAATGTCGCATTTACAATTTAAACTATCAAAGCAAGAATCAGATTTCTTTCAGGGGGGTTTGAGGGCTTGGGAAACTCAAAATCTGTGTACTGCAACACCCCACACAGTTGCAAGTAAAAAAGGAGCTAGCCATAGATCTTTCTCATATGGGGCATACAGTGTAATATGACAGCATGATAATACACATTAATTTGTGCCATTGACCTTGACGCACTATTCTATTGTGTATTCTCTTAGAGTCAGCACTCAGGTCACTAGAACATCTGGTGTTTAACAAAAAAATCCCATTCTGAAGTGCTAAATGTGTTGAAACAAATGGTACTGTACTATCATTATACAGTGCAACCTCTCTGCTAGGGGTCTAATTTCAAGGCTACCCTGACTGAACTACATTATTATTAAGGGTTTTGTAATTCACATCTTGCCACAGTACACAAAATACCTAATTATCAAAAGTATTTTAAAAGCCGGGTTGTGTTCCATGTGATTGGGACTGACGGTCACTTTCTTTCCATTTTATCTTTGGAGACATCTGGAATGGCTAAGCCTGCACAGTGCTGAACATCCTGGCCTCGACCCAGCAGAACACTTCAGCAGGCACATGTATGTGTATACACAGCCCCTGTATTGCAGCAAGACACGCTTTTAGGTTATGCATGTGCTAGAGTACCTTGCTGAAGGTATGGACTGGGTTCACCACACCGTTTGGAAGTTGCACAGTGCTCAGTATTGCATCTACCCCATCTTACAGCCCGTTACATTCAGCTTGTGCTGGAATCTATCCTAGTGCCGGTCTCTGGGAAAAGCTGATGCAGCCTTTTACAAGGAGGCTGAAGATCTGAGAGATGATTGGTAGCAAAGAGTGGCAGCTTTGTTTTACAGGAGTATTTACATGTTGTTTAACATGAAAAAAAGAGGAAAGAGTGATGGCTCTGCCCAGCCTCACCATCCCTCTGACACCACTGCCACCCCCACACCTCCCTACCACCACTGCTCCAGCTCTGCTTCCTGCAGGGATTCTCCACATAAACAAACATAAAGGTTATTTTTGTAGGATCCTTGGGAATCCCACAAAGCTTCCATGGGAAGGATTAAGCATTTGCAGGGGTCTGATGACCTTTACCTGACCTGAAGCAGATTGCAACGTCAATTAGCATTTCAGTTTTCGCTGTTAGTAAGGATACACACAACCCAAGCTGGGCTCTCCCGACTGTGCTGTGTTTGTGCTGTGAGTCACGGTGGGCTGATTCTCCCCCGCTTCACAGATCTGCAAATTTACTTCCCAGCAAAACAAGCATAAAATGCTACTACTCTACTTTTCCACCTAATTTTCCCTCGCTCTGCAAGCATGGGCAGAAAGGAAACATGCTAGTACTCAAGTACTATGCAATATTGGTTTGACAATACCAACATTCTTTTAATAAAGTGAAAAAATCCTCACCGTCAAAAGCATGGAGAATTGCTATAAGCATTTATGAACTAAAACATGTGAGTCTCAAAGCCTGACAAAGGACCAATACATTCAGCTGTGGAGAAAAAGGAAGACAGCAAAGGTGAGCATGCAGGCATATTTAAAAGAGCAAGGGATGCACATGCTGAGCCAAGCAAAGACAGGGCAACAGGAAGAGGCTCAAGGTCATTCAGCATAGGAAAGTAGCAGCCCAGAAAACGCCTTTGACTCACAGCAGGGCTGGAGAAGGAGGAGAAGGTATCTGTTGTGTTGTGGTTTGAGCCAAGGTGAAGTAATTTCCAGTTGTATCAAATGAGATTTCTGCCATGAGGTCTCAGCTGATCTCTATGAAAAGTTTATATATGGTTACTGAAAAAAAGAAAAAAAACCACAAACATGACACCAGTCGATGAGAAGACAGCATTAAGCAATCAAAGACCTAATCTCATTAACTTCTTCTAAGATTTCAGCCATCAGTCTGTAGCTGGCAGCTACGGGAGAACTGAGCACAATGAAACATCTTTTAAACATTATTTTTTCAGGCCATCTTCCTTATCTTTTATACTTGTTTGTTCTGCAGTTTCTTAGAAGTTACAACTGTTGAAGGAAGTAGAAAAAATCCGGAAAAAAACCCCAAAACTTGCTCTCCTATGCTGCTTCATGCTGCTGGGTCAGTGATTAACAAAGACAAGGTCCTGCTGCAGGGAAGCTAAATGGAGTTCATTACAGACATGAAAGTTAGCAGGGCCAAAAAGGTGAGACCATAGGAAAGAGGATGAAATAAGTGCCTAACAAGTGTGGATTTTACTCTCTCGGTGCAATAAGGACAGCTTTCAACTACCAACTACTCTAAAAGAAAATCTATCTAGACAATAGTTTCTTTAAGATAGGTATTGTCCTATATACTACAATCATATTGCTTTGCATATAATCAAGAAAATTAAAATTAAAATGCATTGCTTAAAAAATTTCATATTGTTCTGCAAGGAGAAATCTTTGACTTGAGGATTGAAATTCTGGGCTTGTCCTTTTTCCTGGAAAAATTAGGAAAATTGAAGCATTTAAGTGGAGCACAATGATGTCATTAAACCTGGATGGGGACATCTACCTCAAACCCTCACAAATATAAGAGTTTGTTAGCCATGCTTATTGCTTGAGTGCTTTGGAAATGTCAGTGCTTCCCGGGGATGCTTCCTGCAGCAGCAAACTGTCTGGAGAAGGAAACTACACACAGGTTGCTCCTGTGACACTGACAGAGCCTGGAACTACAGCCAGCAGACACTGGGATATGAGCGGATTTTCTTGGCCCTGAAGGCTGTAAGCAATAGCCTGTGTCTCACTCACAGGTAATTTCTCACCACACTCTGCAGTGCTGGGTACCTGGGCAACACTAAAAGGATGAGCTCTCGCAGGGTGTCATATTTTCTCCCCAGAACTGGCAGTGAGTGATCTCTCTTTCAGTACTTCTGCTTTAGGACATCTCCACTTTGATTTTACACTGGTGCTAACCCCATCGTCACTAGAGAACCTGAAGTTTTCTGCTACACCTGCAAATGTCCTGTATGACCAAAGAGCCCATATGGCTTTACCACAAACCTCCCACAGAGATGTTTGAGTAGGGGGCAGCCAAGAGGTGACATAAGGCACCAGCTACTGTAGAAGCTGCTTAGAAGTGGGGCTCACCTGCAAACGGCATATGTGAGGAGGAGGCTAGAAAATCAAGTACATCTCAAAATAAGATATCTGATTAACCTCAAGAAATCAGAGTTATGAAAAGTAACAAACGAAAGACTCAATGAACCTTCAGCTCACAACAGATCAAAGATTCTTGAAGAGGAGTGTGTAGGCAAATACCTTGAACAGAACATGTATTCCAGTAACTTCAAGGTGTAACTAAAAGTTTCAGGGAAACCAGAGGATGAAACATGCTTGAGGTTCTTGGTTCCAGGATGGTCTGACACCCAGAAAACTGTGAAGAAAAAAGAAAGTGGATAAACAGCTATGAATAGTAATATATTACTTAGTCCCTCTGAGTAACCACGTCAAGGATCTCTTCAGAGATTAGCTCTGCCAATAATTTCACCTGCCTACCAACATCTTTTTTATTTCTTTTGTTGTTAATGTTTTAATGTGGTATAAATTATTAATCATAATTCTACTTTTGCAGGGAGTGGAATTCAGACCTTTTATGAGATATTTAGGGGATGATCTGTTGTCTAAGCAACCCTTAGAATAGGCAGGACAAATCAGACGTAAGAGTAAATTAATGTGGCATTAAGTTGCTTCCAACAGCTTGTTAATGGAAACAAATTCAATAAGCATCGCAACCAAGAAGGGAGAAACTGCCCCCATTTGTACTGTTGTGCAAAGCAAAGCTCAAAATAAAGCAAGAGGATGGACACAAAGAGCTACCTATCATGAGCCTGCTAAACAACTGCAGTCTCAGCAGAGAAGACAGGGATGAAATAATGCACATCTGACTAAACTAGGCAAGAATAAAGAGGAGCCAATGGGAAAAAAATGTAAACTTTTAGTAATCATTAAGAATTTTGATTAAACTTCCTAGGACTTTAGAGCCTCATTGGGGGCTGGTACACTAGTGCTCTGTGATTTAAAGTTCTTAAGTATTTGGGTGGAAAAGCTGGTTTGTAATAGCAAAAAAAAACCCTAAAGAAACCCAAATAATACTGAATAGCAAAACAACTACCATATTGGCACATGGTGATAATCATTTTAAGAATATTGCTAAACCATGTAAGATGTTGAAAATATCACACTTTTAACTTTGCTCCCCACTGTTACATGCTCTCAGACTTGAAGAGAAAATGAAGAACCTTATTTTGCTCAGATAATAACAGTTATAAAAACAGATTAACTGTCAGTATCATGAATTAGTATCACACAAGTATAGAGACTCAAATAATAGGTTTAGGCCATAGGTGAAGGAGCAAGAATGCAAAGCTTATGCTTAGACCTGGGAAAGGATACCCACATCACCACTGCAGAAAAATGCTTACCAAAAAATGAAAGTTGTATTTAATAATTCTGTGTGCATTTAAAAATCTATATTTTGTTTTTTATTATGTGGAGACAGTTTTTGATATTTAAACCATTATGCACTAGCTACAAAAGCTGATGCTCAAGGTAAAAATCTACAGCTTTTAGTTCATGCTTTCAAGTTTTTTTTCCTTTTCCCCTTTTTTTTTTTTTTTAAGAACCTCTGAAAGTCTAAATGATAACATGTTTCAAGTAGCTGCTCCTTTCCTGGAGTTGAACAAAATTGAAAAGATCAAAGTTAGTGCAATCTTGTTCAAAGGTGAAGAGGTGAAATCTTATGTGTGCTGGAGGATCAGAGCAAAGAAAAACGTACAATGCTCAGTGTGCGACACCTGAAGCCCACTTTCATCAAGGTACCTCATTTTCATCTGAATTCAGAATGTATTTCATTTAACGGTAAAGTAAGGAACAGCATAGGATTATCTTGGTTACAAAGAAGAGAAGACCTTGCTCAACACTAAAACGTAAACATCACTAATAGGTGAAAATGGTCAATTTTTTTTAATTACTAAGTTCACCACATTAAATTCTATATTCATTCTTTAAGTAACATTTATATAATTGAGTAAGATGAAGCCATTACACTCAAAATGTTTCAAGAATCATAATACTGTTGATAGTTTCTGCTGAGTTTCTTGAAAAAACACTGTTTTGAAGAGGACTGCAGAGAGGGACATCTAAAAAGGGTATGTTTTTTTCCATAAATCTTCATGTGACTGATGTGCCCTGACATAATGCATCACAATGAAATACAGCTGCCAAAAAAGAACTTCAAATTAAGCCCTTTTCTAGAGAAAGGGAAAAAAAAGTGATAAGAAAATAGGTACCTTTTCAGCAAAAGCTTTTAAAGCTTTAAAAGCACGGCAAGTAAAAAAGTTCTCTCAATTGTGTCTAAGTAACTAGAAGCTAAATGGGGGGAAAAGGGTGTGAAAAATAATGCTCCAGCCTCTGTGAGAATTGGAGACAGACTGAACACAAGACACTGCTACACAGGAAGAAAAGATGATTTTAATGTTCTTGTCCTACCTTGTTCATTTTCAAACACATGGAAGATCCACTTTCAAATTATTGGGAAATGTGTTACATTATGCTAATGATGCTAGTCTAAGAATGCTTTAGCATAAACATGGACTTAGACATGGCAAAGTGGCTACATTCAGAAGCTGTGAGTCACATTTAAATTGTTTCTTTTTGACTAGGTAGAGTTTCTTTTGCATTATTGCTATAATTCCTAAATTCCCAAAGGCAATTTGCTGCCCAAAAGCAATAAGCATTATGTAAATATTGTCCGTTATAAGTCAGACCTTGACCTGAGAATCAGGTCTTCTCAGGAGTACTATAGAAGTCTTTCGTATGCAGCCCTGATAGGAGCCATGCCACAGAGCCAGAAGCCCCTCTGTCAAGGATTCACTCAGCACATTCGCACCTAAACTCCCGATTTTGTTCTCTTTCAACCTCAACCCTCACAGAAAATCTGCTAAAAAAAGTGCTGTCTTCCAGTGGTAAGGGCAGAAAATGAACTGCTGAAAGCAGAGCATGTTGCAGATGCTGGGGTTTGCAGATTGGGCATGAACTGAGGTTCACGGACAGAAAAGAAACAAAGGTGACAAGAGGCACAAAGGGAATTTAAGAAAACACATGCAGGCTGCCTCCAGCATCAGATTTGTGCACAATTAGACTGAATGCAGCTGAACCTGACACCAAACTACTGCTTTATGCTAGGTGAGAACTTGGGTCATCCAAGCTTCAACACCTCCCAGAGTAGAACACTTCTAATGGTTCTCCTCTTGGCTACATAAACTCCACCTCCATCTATCCCAAAGCATGATCTAAAACACACATAAGCAGGTCCCAAAGGGTGGACACAACATAACAGTTCACATGTGTTAGCACAGGGCTGAGAGTACAGAGATGAAGCTTTCATCGTTTCTTGTCTGTGTTTCAGGTCACTATTTCTTATTTCACATTTGGGGCGCAGGAGGAACTGATCTATTGTCCTCCATCTGCTGTCAGACTCTTGCAATTAATCTGAGGAGATAACTGTGAAAGTACTGCAGGTAGAGTAAATCTCTTGATGTCAGGGAACCTCTGCACATTTTATAAGCAATATTACATTGACATAGAATACATATCACATGCAGTATGCAGCGGCTGACTTGCAAACAGAGATTGTGCCAACTGTGTGTCTTTATGCTTGAATTTGCTCTTGCATTTTGGTAGCATGTAGACAGCTCTATTGGCTGCTTTGAAAGGTTTGAGCTGGGATTTCAGACTTCTTCTGAAGTGCTCCACAGAACTGACTTCAGGTATTTCTTAAACCAAGAATTTCTGCAGTGTTCAGATCCTTCCAGTAAATGTTCAAAGCTCTCCTACACCCCAGCCATGAACATTGTGTTGCCAGCATAAAGATGGGTTTTAGTCACTGAAGAGCATGCTGCCAGTGTTCTGAGGCACAGCCTGTGCTTCCATAGGACTGTGCCATTCATCTGCACAAGGGAAAACAGCGGCCAGTGGCTGCCTCTGGTACCCGCAATAGTCTCAAAAGGTGGGGTAATAGATCAGGTGTATCAGACTGTTATTGTTCCTGGCTGTATTTGTATTTGTTATGGACTATAAACCCGGATGATCCCATGAAGGGTTGTGACCATGAATCCCAATTGGCTGAGCAGTGCTATTTCATGGAGGGACAAGTCCGGCAGTAATGAATTCAGTCAACATAATGATTTCGGTTTCACTGCACTGCTCTGTTTCCTGGGAATCTGCAGAAGATGAGTGACTGTGTCACAATCATAAATTCAGACACACACAATGCTGAAACTTCTTATAGAGCTTTAAGTCCCTGTGAAATGTCAGACTAATAAATATGATGATCGTATTTGCTATTTGGCAAAAGTATTAATTAACCTGGAAAAGTTAATAAAAATATATTCCCCAAAATTATGCAGCAGAGAAAATATTTTTTCTTATTCATGGTTGTATGAATGCAAAATGCCATGGGTTCTTCATCTTTAATACCCAAGGGATTTTTAAGCATATTGCTTCCATAAAACTTGGTTCATCAGTACAGTACACAGCCCAGATATGCATATTTAATTACTCTGAAAGTAATTTACTTGTACAGATGGTGGCATTAGAAGGTCTTACTTCCATTTAAATTACTTCTATTTGAAAAATAATGTTATTTTGCTATGAATCTTGAGTGAAGAATTCACTCTTATTACAGATGAATAATACTTTTCAATTGTAATTAATCTGTGACTAATCTAATACTGCCCAGATAGCATTTTCTCTCCAGTTTTACAAATCAAAGCATTCTCTTTCCAGAAGGCTGATCTAGTAGTATTTTATATCCAACCTGCAGACTGGGGAGGGGACCCCAGTCTGCTCTTGGGGCTCATGAATAAAGAGCCACAGAAGAGTTTGTTGAATATCTCTGAGACTTCCCAAGGCAGAGATGTTACAAAATTGTTTGCATCTTTCTGTAAGATTAAGCAGGGATTAAAGCAAAAGGGTACACTTCAGGAAAATATCTACCAGGCATAAGATTTCAGGAAAGCAGTGACTCAATGGGCACGTGTGGATTTTGAGAGAAGCTTTAATGAGCAAGCATCCAAAATATTTTGGGTAGCGAGCCCTCCCAGCAGTGCAGGTAGCAGGCCCACGCCTTTGCTGAAATAAATAGAGCAGGAGATCTTTCTCCTTTTCAATGCCACCATTTCTGATGACCTCATCTGCATACCAGCTCTGATGTCACACCCTTCCCCTGCTACCTGCAGGGTCTGGTGTCACTCCCTGGCAATCAGCCAGGCCGATCACCAACCATTAAGAGGTAATTGAAGAAGAACTCTCAACAGTAGGTGACTGCAACATGAAGCTAACTTAACAGCAACTGGTTCAACTTGTTTTAACTCTTCAACCTTAAAAAAAATATATAACTTTTAACTCATAACATTTGTCATTACTGTACCCGTCTGCACCACCAGCAATTCCCAGGAGCAGGCAGGTAGCAGAGGCAGGGAAAGCTAGCAGCCTATTGCATTACCTCTTACATGGTTCCTGGGAAATTATGTCTGCTTCTTCAAGTGAGATTGTTTTCTTGAACAGCTCTGTAAAAGGTCTACATGTGTTAGGCTTTCTTCAGTGAGCCCCCAACTCTATCCAAGCAGTGGCTCTCTCAAAGGGGGCTAATGTGGTTGCTATGGTTAGCATTCATGTTTTATTGAAGACTAAATGGCCAGAACCCACATAAAAGACTCCCAAGTGGCCCTAAAATGTGCTCTGCCTTTCCTTTCTGCCATGTCTCTTTAGGACAAAACAATTTTTTGACAGCTGATCTGATTTTGCAGGCTTATCCAGAATAGGCATATTTGTCCCTTCTATCTATGTAACTTTAACTTTGTGATCTAGATTTAATGCTGCAAACCCTGTGGGCCTACTTCATAGAGCTGGAAAGCACCTAAATTTCCCAGTGAGTTTTGGGGGAACAAGAGATGATGGGTGAGCTGAGCCACAGTAAGACTGACAGAACCACACGTTTTTGTCACTCTAAAATTAGGAGGGGGAAGAGTGGGGGGGAAGAAGGAGAAATATCATAATCTTGACCACCAATGCTGTACAACCCAAGCTTGACTACACAGCCTGAAGTGCAGAGGTTTTGCCCAGGCAGAGCAACCAGGGTGCCAGAAGAGAGAAAAGGAACATCACACTATGAATAAATCTGCTCCTGCTTTAGCAAAGGAGCTGTGGTGCTCTGTGTCTGGCATTCAGCTTGCTGACTGCTTTTCTTTTTAATTACCCTAATTAGGAAAAAAATTTACCTCCTTTGGCTCTCATATATTTACACTTACACAGAATTTCCAATAGCGTCTTTTTCCCAGGAAATCTAAGCACATTCACTTTCACTGAGTTTAAAAAGCATCAAGGTCACATCTTTTCCATTTTGAATTTTTGTTATTTCAAACCATCTGTGATTGCTGCATCTCCAAGCAGATAGCCAACGTTCCCATTATCCTACCCACTGCTTCAGACTCCAGCTGCCAGGGCTGCACCAAGCTGTGCCCACAGACTTGCACCCTTGCATTCCTGTGCAAGAAATGCTTGGAGCAGGGAAATGCTCCTGGGCTTCTCATCCCTAACCCTTCAGCAATGCTTTGCTCCAAGGGATTTCTCACCAAGTGTTCTCTCTTCAATGGAATGGGATCCCTACTTGTCCTTACCCCTTCCTAGTGAGGATGACCCCACAGACTCCCCAACATGACTGCCATCCCACTCCTCCAGACACGCTGGCTGTAACCCTTCAAAGACCCCTGGCAGCCATGTGCCAAACCTCAGCAGTGGATCCAGGTGTGTCTGGTTAGTGTCTGGTGCTGAACAAGCTGGGGAGGTCAAGGATAGCCTTCGTCTATAGCTGGAGGCAGCAGAGGTTGCAAATAATAGTCCTGTGGAAGTATAGAAATAAGAGAAGGTGAGTCAGAAATTTGGAGAAGATGGGGAGTAAACAGATGCAAACTGTAGGATGGCTGTGGCTGAGCTTATCTCAATTACAGTATTTCTCAGTTTAAGCATGCCATTTTAAAGCATGGAAATTCAAGCTCCAGTTTGTATTTTATGACACAGAGCCAAAAGCCCAAAACAGAAGAAGCATCTTAACAGTTCTGTTCCTTATTTTCATACAAATTCACACACTTGTAGTCATACGCATATAAAGTCAGCCTTAAACACAAGATCCATGGTAGGTTTTTCAACAAAATAATCCTTTAGACACTGATAAATCAGGCAACAATGACACTGGGATATCATAGCATCACTAAAAATGTCACTACAGTTAACAAGCCTGCTTGCTTCAACAAAAAATATTGGTGAATAATCATCCGTCAGTTAGCAACACTAAAAAAAAACATGCCTGGTGTTCCTTGCCTAAAAATGATGGGAGTGGAAACATTGTTTTCTTGCCAGGTTATTTTCATTTCAGGAAGAGAAATAACCAGGGGAAACATGGAGAGAAGAATAAATAACAAGAAGCAGTATGAGGGGAAGAAATCCTTCATAATTATGCCATTGCCTCTGCCTTTCTCACTATCAGATTCCTCCCTGTACCACACTGTGCCAAACCACTCACACGCCGGGCATCCTCCAGATGAATCAACACCGTGGCACACGGCTTCAAGCACACATCAGAGGCACAGAGGCGGTGTTTGATATTGTATTTATGAACAAATCGGATACAAGAGCTTGGTAGGGGGGTTTTTTTGGTAGTAGGAGGAGGAGAAAAGAAAATAAGATTGTATGCCAGCTTGGGAGGCAAAACATCTCATTATCTTTTTAAAATTTGTATTAACCACAGACTCTGTTCTGCTTCATCCTCTAAGTGGTAAATTAAAACAGCACACATGCAATCTGTAGATTGCTCCTTTACCCATCACTCAGAAAATATAATTTGAAAGACTGTCTGCACTAATCCAGGCTCCTGCATCTGTCCTGATGCTGCACACTGGGGCAGAGGGGCTGAACTGGGGCACTGTGCTGCCTGCAGCACATGGAGGGAGCCCCAGGTGCCACCAGGCAAGCATGACCAAGCACCATCATCCCACATCCCAGCCAAGCACAGAACTCTCCCTAATATGGGAAAAACTCCATTTTGAGCAATCTCACCATAGTTATTTCTTATTTTACTTTGCAAAGCAAAACCAACTGATTATGTCCACAAGCCACCAGGTATGACTGCAAGCTATAACCTCACAGTTGCCTGGCAACTTCCCTGAAACCAACCCACAAAGACTTCACTTTTGTTCAAAAGCATTGGTGATGAAACACAAAAGCTTTTCCCAAACTATGCTGATGAAACCTTAACAGCTCTTAAAATAAGTTTTCTCACCAATAAACATTCGCTCAACAGGAGGTGACAGAAAAAGGACTTCTAGAGCCCAGCATCACAAGCTGACAAAGAGAGAGCTCAAAGGCTCAAGTTCTAGGCCAAACAACAGAATTCATCTACTGCATGTTCAGCCTCTTCTACCGAACATTATCAGCACAATTGTGTTCTACTGGTGAAAAGAGGATGTCAGGCCAAAACTTGATTGTGTCTCTTACCTTTTAAGAAGCAGAAGCAATCTCCATTAATAGGCACGGCCTTGCACCCAGCTTCCTTCTGGCTGCAGTCTCCCCTTAAACACTCTTTTTCTTCTTTTATTTTTCCTCATCTAAAATCAAAAAATCAGTTATCGCAACCACTTATCAAGCAAATAATAAACTTCAGCCAAGGAAGGAGACAGAAGCTGAGGAGAGGCATACAAGACACTCCAGCACATCTCCAGTGGAATAAATGAGACTTTCCTGCAACTGAACTTTGGCTCATACAAGATCCTCACAAGGAACAAAAATTACCATGTTTCAAATATTCCACTGGTAAAAGAGTTTGACCAACAAGTCATCCAGCACACAGAGTATTAATATTTGCACATATATTGTCATGTGTACCAGTGACAGAAGTTTTTCTGTTAAGATGGGTGTGTGGGAGAGCTCCAGAGATGGAATGAACACCTCCAGCTTGCCCTTTGTGGCTCTTGTTTCCCAGTCTACACCCTTGCAGCAACTGAGAGTTTGAAACAAAACCAGAGCCTCCCGCTAGGGTAAAGAGTGAAATGCAAACACTTTCCTATGCCAGACTCTGAAGAACATGACCTACAGACATTTTCCTTACATGAAAACATTTCCCAGTGCCCCAAACAGGTATTTTCCCAAGTAAAGGCTGACATAAGACTGCAGAGGTTGGCTGTGTGTTTTAGGGGATTTCAGGCATTAAAGGGTGGACTTAAACATGGACAGTGAAACAAAACTGACTGACTTCCCACATCAGACCACCGGCTGAGTGGGACACATCCTTTAGAAAAACACAAAGTTTTGATAGGCATTCCATTAGTCTCAAAAGGCATCCTTTTCTGAGCCTAACTACCTTCACTCTCAAAAACATGTGATGTACTCAATTATTTGGGGGCTTATATGCATTTTTGCTTCATCCCCAGCCATGTTACACATCTTCAGGTAGTGGGCATCTTCACTATATCTAGTTATTTATGCATCCAGTTCCTAGCTGTTAGTTTATCATATTTTTTACTGTAGATTCAAGTATGTTCTATCTAGCCTCCTCACAGGAAAAATATGCTTTATTTTGGGGGGGCGGGGGGGAGTGGGGCGGGTGTGTGGGCTTAGTTAAAAATCTCACTCAAACTCCAACACTGTCAGTGATAAAAAAACAAATCATTAGATAAAAGATGATTTCCCCCTTGTGTTTCTCGAATGATTAAAAAGGCTTACAGCAAGAGAAGGATGCAAATTTCAGGAGCAGTAAATGGCTGTGTGGTTCAGGTAATGGATGTGTTCGGGTATGTGTGCAGGGGGGGTGCCTGGGGGTGTATTTGCCTTGTTTATGTATACATGGACTTTTTGAATGTCATAGTACTATGGGCAAACTAAGCCCTAAACATGGTGTACAAGCCCTAAATAAACTTTGAAAGCTTAAAATGCAGTAAATTATGGGGTTTGTAAAAACAGAAAATAATCAGTAATGGTAACTAAGATTGATTTTATATTTGAATTGAGTGTCTACCCCAAAACAAATTTTCACTAAAAAAAAAAATCACCTGATGTTTACTAGATTATTTATTGCACCTTTATCTATATTACAGATGCCCATATAAAAAATGAGCTATTATTTTTAGGTCTTATAAATATATACATTAAATCATGAATCACACATAGGTCTGTATGCAGCAGGTCTCTGTGACAGTCACTATTTTTCTTGTACAAAATGTCTGTAAGATGCCTAGCCGGGGACTGCTTTTGCTGGCTAAAAAATAATCAGTTGCAGAAAGCTCAAACTTCTGTCAACTGTATGAAATGAGAAGGCAGAAGGCTATGCCCTTCAGTATTTTTACTACATGGATCAGGAAAACAAATTTCAAGAATTAATGGTGCAAATTTTTAAATATGCCAGGGCATGGCAATTCTAAGCACTGTTACAAGTTACAGCAAGGGAAAGGTGTTGCTTTCAGATTTGGAAATGCCTGCTACAGTCTAACCTCTTTGTCAACATGTTTGCAGTTTTGCAACATCCATTTCTAAGTGAATTACCTCATGAAGGAAATCAAAAGGCAGAAAACTAAAGAAATAGGGGTCAAATTCCTTCTGTGAGATCTACCTTGTAAAATTATCCAGAATGTAATAATACCATGTTATTGACTTAAGCACAGTTCCCTGTGACATGCTGCAGCTGACCTGTAATTTTTATCCTACATGTTGCCAGCACTATTAAAATGACACTTGTGAATGTAAATTAAGCTCACAAAGGGGACAGATTGTATGATTCTGGTTTCTCTCAGATGCCTGTAGGCTATCACAGGTTCCATATGTGAAGTAATTATGTTCACTGAAGGAAAGAATAAATGCTGTCAAATTGTGTACTGAGAGAGAAAGCAGCTATTATATTGCAGTAGTCACTGGAGCATTGCCTTAGAAAGTGAAAATATGTATAAGAAAATAATAAAAAAGAAAAACTGGAGCAGAGCTATATTAAATATAACCTTTAAATGAGTATCTGCTTTTGAATACATATTACACAAAGCTAATATTTCACAAATAAAAGCATTTTACCTTTTTAATCACATTTTCTTTCTCACATCTAGAGGGCACAGGGCAGAATATTTACTGGAGGGGTAAAGAACAGGTAGAGCATCTTTCAGATTTCTGTGTTTCCTCAGGAAGAAGAGCCCTCCATGGCCCCAGAGATGCTGTCCCCACCCCCTTCCCCGCCACAAACCTCCTCCTGTAGGAACTGTGCAGTGGCCAGCCTTCCTCCCCAGCAGGAAGATGTGTCCCACCCCATCCATCTCTTATGGCCAGCTCCAAACCTCTGCCTGCCACAGGCCCCGAGCGAGCACTAAGGTGGGGCAGGAGCACTGCTGCTCTGCAGCACCAAACCATGGCTGCACAGGCTGCAGCAGGCATGGAGAAGGTGAGGCTTCTACCATGGAAGCCAACATAGCAGCTAAAAGGAAAAGCAACACTTCCATGACCTCTACAGCTGCAGTGTGGTCCTGCTCTCCTGCACCTGGGGGAGGTGAGCCTATATTTAGACCAGTGAGGTCATCAGTGAACCAGCACAAGAGGGAAGAGAATACTAAACTGGGAAAATAGCCTTTTAAAGCCTTTCACTTAGAGGGAACCAAGGACACCAGGAGCAGGGAAAACTAAGTGCTTGTGTGGGTTTGGATTTTCATGCAGAAATGAAACTAGGAAAGAAAGGAAGTTAGGATGCTCTAGAAACAAAAAACAAACAGGAAGGCACATTTTCTTACAGAGGTGTAACCATAGATGTAGAAGTCATGAAGGAGCCCAGTACACTGAAAAACAGAAGACTGAATGCTTCCCTATGTTTTTACTGTTGACTAGAGTAGCATCACAAAGTTGGGCACTGTGGAGCTTCCCACAGCAATGGAAAGGGGATATTTCTGCAATGTCCCACTAGTGCTAGGTCTGGATCTCTGCAGCCTCAAGTCTAATGGGGTGTAAAAAGTAACAAAGGGCAAATAACTTCCCAACACAGCTGCCCTCCACCCTGCCCAGCCTGTCCTGTTATCTGCCTGACATGCCTGTACTAACCTGGCTGCCTTAACAGCAGCCTGTGCTCAGGCTACAGCTGGCTCCCGTGCAGTGCTGAGAGGAGCGGAGCTGGCTGGAGATGGCACAGCACAGGCATTGGCAACTCAAGCACTGAATGTCCTCTGTGCCCAGAGAGTGGCCTGTCTGTGGCTGAGTTTGTCTGTACTCACCTGATACTCAAAAGCTGGTATGTCCAGGAGACCAGGAGATCCTTCACACTGCTCTCTGATGTGAAGGCAGCTCCTGGGGAAGCAAGGCATCTGATAGAGCAGAGGAGATGCCTGGAAGCTCTCAAGTCCTCCTCTCTCTCCCAAAGCCACTATCAGCTCCTGGACAACACTGTATGAAAGCAGTCACACCAGGTCTACAGGGTCCTTTTCCAAAGAGGTGATTTTCCTGGTTGTCACCATGAGGTAATTTCGGTAACTAACTTGTATCCAAGGACCTGTCCTGATTCTGGACAAACATTTTACAGTGATCTGCCTTGACCAACAGCTCTCCCTGGAGTCCCTGGTCAGGGGTTCACTACCCATCAAATCTTCAGGTTCACATGAGCAGTAACAAGACATTAGACATGGCATGGGTTTGTCTCATCAGAGCCACAGCTTGCAGCAAACCATTCTGTTTGTACAACATCACATTTCTGCTTCTGGGAAATCAGAAACTGTGGCACTTTCTTTTTTGAGATTTCTTAGGATAAAAAATCTGACACTCAGCTTTTGCAGTCACTCCATGGAAGCCATTTTACTAACTGCATATTGCATTTAGTAGAATTGTTCAGCACAGAGAAATACTCTGAAATGAACACTGCACAATTGTCCTTGGTTGTTTCTGGGCACATACATCTCCATTACTGGAAAGGGCCACCAGGCTGCCCCACACACTGCCACCATCAGACACAGCACAGTTCACAGGATTTCACCTAAACTTTCTCTGTATGTTAAAATATGAGGCTTACATCTGAATTGCCCATCAGGACCAGGGCCTGGCACATCCTGTTGTTGCTCATCCTCTGCATGCCCAGGAGCAGGATAACAGCCTGCCTCAGCCCTGCTCTGTGTTCACCTTGACGGAAAGGGCCCCCAAATCACTTGGGTTTCTCTACACCCAGCACTGTGAAGAAAGAAAACATGATCCTACCTCCTTATTTTGGTCATTGCTTTTCCACTTCTGTTTCACTTCCTGGCCAGCTACCTCACTCATACCAACACCCTCCTCTGCAGCACCAAACCCTGGCAGCAACTTCCCCTTGGGGATCCTCAGCAAAACCAGCTAACTGCCTCTTTGTTTGAGGCCATCTTGGTAACCAAAGGGCTGCAGCACAGCCCAGAGAAGCGTCCAGATGCAGATATCAATGCAGAGCAAACTCTTCCAGCCCATGCACCAGACCCACCTCACAGCTCACTACTGTGAGTAGTGGCTAAGAGACAAGAGGAGACCTACCCAAGCAGAGCACAGCTTGAGCAGCAGCACAGAGCTGTGGGAGGAAGTCCCCAACCGTACTTCAGGACAGTCACCTCATGGCATGGAGGGGCACAGAGCC